TGCGCCTTATCCTGCCACAGGTCGACCAGGTTGGGCTCAACCTGCTCAACAGCATGCTCCAGCTCCGACCAGAGATGCGTATATCGGCTGCAAATGCTCTCCAGCACCCATGGTTCAACGACTTGCCGCAACGGCAACAAGAAGTCGCCCAGATGCAAGCCCAGGCACATGCCCAGGCACAGCAGGCTCAGATGGGTGGCGGCTACCAAGTGCCTCAAAACGCCTACTAGCAGCACTGCGTACTTCTAGACACTATGAATCCATATGAATATCAGTCGGCACCTCGATGCACACGCGGAATTCTGGTGTTAAAGGAGAATCCCCGTGTTTTATTCTCCACTGCATGTTGCAGCAAGATGCTACATTACCAAGCTACACGAGACCCATATAAGCATCAGGGCTATTTATACTGTTGGAAGGGCAGCACGTACGTGGCGACGCGAATCGTACCCTCGAAAATCCCGTTTTAGGAAGACGGTATACGCTATGTGAACAACAGTCGCTCCTATGTCATATCATCTTGCCAGGCACCGCCACGTCCCTTTCTGCTTTCGGGAATGCTCTATGTATGGAATGGCGCTACATTCATGCCTTATGCGAAGCAATGGGAGCCTCAAACTGAGACCCCGAATAATCGGCTTCCCCTTTTTTGATGGTTTGTTAGCGGAGGGGTGAATTAATTGCATGAAGTTGTTTTTTCTTCCTCTTCTGATGTTGATATATGACTGTTATGTGATCCTTGACTACTTGGTATGCGTATGATGTTGCCTTGACTGATGTGTCTTTGTCGTTTTATGCATTTCCCCCCTTTGAATACATGAGTTCAATGAAGTCATGAAAAAAAACATTTGCAGCTGTCTGTGTTCACTTAATTTTTGGTGTAAGAACAAATCCTTGGATAGAACTCGGCGACGTAAGCCATGAATTCCACTTCCCATGACACCCCTTCTATCTCGTGCTCTGCAACTCGATCGACTACAATCAGTAAGATTATATACTAACTCCTCTTGAAGAAATTCTATTTACGCTACAAGCTTACAACAATGCCTGGATGGCGGCAGATTAGGCGCTGTAGCTGTGTTTTATGTTCCCTATACAAACATCACTTCACTGCATAAAAGAGGGACCCCTTTATCGGTGGTTTGCATCCTAAATATGACTTGCGAATAGTATGTAGCTTTAGCTGGATGTATATTTTTTTCGCATCTATCACATTACATCATTGTTGATTTGGGGGGGGGGGGGGGGGGGGGGGGGCAAAAAACTGAGGGGCAAGACTGATGTGTAAGTACGATATCACGCACCTAATCACTAGTTCTGTGTATCTTCTAATATAGTTCCTAATGTTGTTTTCAAGTAATTCCATGTACAAAAGACAATCGAACATGATTTTAATACTGCTTTCTTGTGTACATGCATGTTCCATATCACTTGACTTGCTATTCTTTTATCCCCTCCATTTGGAAGAGAGGGAAACAAACAAGAAGCATGCCTCATGTGTTGGAATAAGAGAGG